TGGACATTTTCACTCAGGGGTATACTCATTTTTGTTGCCAGCGGTTTAGACATTAATGGCTGTGTGTTGAGTTATTTTTAGGGGACAGAAATGTACACTGTTACACAAGCTGTACACTCACTACTTTACATTGTAGCAAAAAAGTGTTTGCCCGCTTCCTCATTTCCTGTTCCTTTGCATGTTTGTCACACTTAAGTGTTTCGGAACATCAAACCAATTTAAACAATAGTCAAGGACAACACAAGTAAACACAAAATGCAATTTGTAAATGAAGGTGTTTATTATTAAAGGTGAAAAAAAAATCCAAACCATCATGGCCCTGTGTGAAAAAGTGATGCCCCCTAAACCTAATAACTGGTTGGGCCACCCTTAGCAGCAACAACTGCAACCAAGTGTTTGCGATAACGTGCAATGAGGCTTTATAAGCGTCCTGGAGGAATTTTTTGGCCCCACTCATCTTTGCAGAATTGTCCTAATTCAGTTACATTATAGGGTTTTCGAGCATGAACGGCCTTTTTTAAGGTCATACCACAACATCTCAATAGGATTCAGGTCAGGACTTTGGCTAGGCCACTCCAAAGTCTTCATTTTGTTTTTCTTCAGCCATTCGGTGGTGGACTTGCTGGTGTGTTTAGGATCATTGTCCTGCTGTAGAACCCAAGTTCGTTTCAGCTTGAGTACACGAACAGATGGTCGGACATTCTCCTTCAGGATCTCTTGGTAGACAGCAGAATTCATAGTTCCTTTTATCACGGCAAGTCTTCCAGGTCCTGAAGCAGCAAAACAGCCCCAGACCATCACACTACCACCACCATATTTTACTGTTGATATAATGTTCTTTTTATGAAATGCAGTGTTCCTTCTCGCCGATATACTTGGACACACACCTTCCAAAGAGTTCCACTTTTGTCTCATCGGTCCACAGAATGTTGTCCCAAAAGTCTTGGGGATCATCAAGATGTGTTGTGGAGAAATTGAGACGAGCTTTGATGTTCTTTTTAGTCAGCAGTGGTTTTCTCCTTGGAACTCTGCCATGCAGGCCATTTTGCCCAGTCTTTTCCTGATGATGGTGGGGGCATGAACACTGACCTTAACTGAGGCAAGTGAGGCCTGCAGTTCTTTGGACGTTGTTGTGGGGTCTTTTGTGACCTCTTGGATGAGTCGTCGCTGCGCTCTTGGGGTAATTTTGGGCAGCCGGCCACTCCTGGGAAGGTTCACCACTGTTCCATGTGTTTCGCCATTGGATGATAGGCTCTCACTGTGGTTCGCTGGATTCCCAAAGCTTTGGAAATGGCTTTATAACCCTTTCCAGACTGATAGATCTCAATTACTTTCTTTCTCAATTGTTCCTGAATTTCTTTGGGTCTCGGCATGATGTCTAGCTTTTAAGGATCTTCTGGTGGACCTTACTGTGTCAAGCAGCTCCTATTTAAGTGATGCCTTGATTGTGAACAGGTGTGGCAATAATCAGGCCTGGGTGGCGCTGGCTAAGAAATTGAACTCAGGTGTGGACAACCACAGTTATAGTATGTTTTAACAAGGGGGCAATCACCTTTTTACACAAAGGGCCATGATGGTTTGGATTTTTTTTCACCTTTAATAATAAACACCTTCATTTACAAATTGCATTTTGTGTTTACTTGTGTTGTCCTTGACTATTGTTTAAATTGGTTTGATGTTCCGAAACACTTAAGTGTGACAAACATGCAAAGGAACAGGAAATGAGGAAGGGGGCAAACACTTTTTCACACCACTGTATATATATATATACACAGACACACACACACAATTGAAAGATTTTCAGCTGTTCGCACTGAACAAATCAAACAAAAGCAGTTAAAACACAACCAATGCTTCAAGTGGTTTCCCCCCATTATTTCATCTACGACAACAACAGTAATAATCATGTGTTCATATTCCTCGATTTCAAATTTACTTTATTTGTTTAATATTCATAAGTGGTATTATTAGTACTAAGCCAAAAAAAAAAAGAACTTGTCAGAAGTGGGATTCGAACCCACGCCTCCATTCGGAGACCAGAATCCTCCTTACATCAGGGGGAAGGTCTGAACCTTGAGTCTGGCGCCTTAGACCGCTCGGCCATCCTGACACTGAAGCGATCTTGAAACAGAGTACTTATGACTGTTAAAACTATAAAGTTCATTAAAATATTAAAATGTATTACAATAGTTCTTAATAGTTATTATGCGGAAATCACATGAATGTGTTAAAAGCTTAACTAGCCAAGCACTTCGTGGAGAAATAACTATAGTACTTAAAAACTCGGTAATGGTGAAAAGGGGTGCTGAAAATATCAGGCTGTACCAGATTACAGTTAAATATACATTTAACCCCCAAGGTTCAATAGCTATGCTGTTTTGGTGCCTTCTGTCCATGTATATACGCTAAGGTTATTGTTATAATATTCAGTTTTATGATTTACTAGACGTGTTAGAGCCTCTGCAGTTGGTGCCTCTCAAGGTGCCTGACCAGGCAAATACATTTTTGCCTTTTTGTTTAGTGTTTAATAGTTTATGTGTTTATGAGTACACAGTGCTGGACTGCTTGTACGACAAATGGCATGTCATCGTAAACCCTGAGACATCCCTGGAGGTGTTAATATAATGTACCTGCAGCGAGGCATGCAGTCTAGAACTGTGAGTCGATTCCAAAGCTCCAGAGTCGATTCCATACTCTGAAATAGATTCGGACCATTTGACGCACACTTTGGTGTAACGTGAGAGAGTAAGCGACTTTGATGTTATTTCACGACTTGTGCTTAGATCATGTTACAAACACCAGACCGTATTTCACATCGAGATTCAACGCCTATCCCTAGGAATCAAATCAGAGTCGTCACTAAAGTTCGAACAGTGCAATCCGCGACATTTCCGGAAGTTGTCCAACATGATGTGTGTGTAAAACAACAGCGTTTCCTGGTCGTCTGAGTGAATCTTCAAGTCATTCGCGCCTGAAAATCGGGCTTGTGCTTGAGATATAGATCTACAGCAGTACAGTGCGCGGTATTGACACGTGTTGTGTGTTATGGTCATGCTTATGAAACAGTAGATGTTTTATAACAGTAGAAGGCGTGTTATATCAGTCGGTGAATTCACGGTCAGAAGACTCCAGAATGTCTTTTTACAGGAACGCGGTCTGGTTTGTGAAAGGTCTGCAAGAATATACCAGGTAAATCCGATTATTATCTCAGTGTTGTACTCGAGCTGTGGGTGCAGAGGGCAGAGGCGGTATGGATGTCAACACAGAGCTAAGTTAATACTGGCCCTCGCTTTTATTTCTGACAGCTCATTCCCGGGAGCTGCGGGAAATTACCGTAAATATGTTGTTAAAATCGAACCTTACACTAAATTACACTTAGTCCAATCCGGATTACAAAAACATCTGTTCAGCATTTTACTAACACGAGTTGTAGTCTGAGCTACTAAAGTTTTCACCACACTTACATTATATATGAAATTTAGTACATAAGTATATATTTTTAAAAAATACAGAATAGAAATCGTTTGTTTACGTTTATTTACCTTCATTTATTTTACATTTCACAAGTAGTGTTTTTCTAAGATTAAATAAAAAAAGTTCCATGTCAGAAGTGGGATTCGAACCCACGCCTCCATTCGGAGACCAGAATCCTCCTTACTTCAGGGGGAAGGTCTGAACCTTGAGTCTGGCGCCTTAGACCGCTCGGCCATCCTGACACTGTGTTCGCTGTTTTAAGTCACCAGCTGTCTCATTATGGGATGATTAGATAGCTAGATACATCTTTTGGAATATTGTGGAAATTGAGTTTTTAATTTAAACGTAATTTAATTTAAAAAAAAATGGAACTTTCATATATTCTTGATTCATTAAACATAAAGTGAAATATTTCGGGCCTTTTTCTGCTTTAATCTTGATGATTAAGGCTTACAGCTCATGGAAATCAAAAATCCAGTATCTCAAAATATTACAATATAAAATTTATAATACAGAAATGTTGACCTGAGAAGAGCTCTAATCAGATAATTAACTCAAAACACCTGCAAAGGTTTCCTGAGCCTTTCATCTCTCATTCAATATATAAATATTCCACTTTTGAATTAAATCACTGATTTTTAAAAAACTTTTCCTCAATATTCTAGTTTTTTTTTTAGATATAAATCTAATCTTAAAACGTATCTGTTTTCTCAGTGTTATTTGTCTCAATGTGTTGCTATTTTTCATTTTCTGTGTTTGCGTGTTCATTGTTTTTCAAACAAGTTGTAGTCTGAGCTACTGAAGTTTTCACCAAATTTACATATTATATTCAATTACAACATTACCTAACGTCAATTTAGTACATACATATAAAAAGCTTTATTTGTTGAATAGTCTTGGGTGGAAAAGAATAATGCAACCCTGGGCTGGTGGCGACTTGATTCGAGGTTCAAATCCTACATGAGCCCTGTTTTTTCTGTCAATTACAGCGTCACCTATCACGCCCTTTTGTGCAAAAGCAGCGTCTCCGGGCACGTGATCTAAAGCTCACATCTAATTGGACGGCCTGTTTCGTCACCGAGCGGCAGAAAACAAATTGAAACGCTGAATGGGAGACAAATGTGTCGCTTTGTCGCGTCGTGAATGATCACGCCCAGTGTGAATAGCTCCATAAGGATCTATTGTTTCCATGCAAGAGCGTTGTCGCGTCAAACTTTCTCCCTGGTTAAATTAGGCTTCTTGTCTCTGAATGGAGGCGTGGGTGCAAATCCCATTTCTGACATCAGAGTTTTGTTATTTTAAATGAAAAACCTTCTTGTGAATATTACAACAGACCGGAAAGTTTTATTTTACACCTCCAGTGTGTCTTCCACTCAACCCATAACCCTTGGATTTTACTCTGCCTCACTTGTATTGGGTAAAAGCTTTTGGTAAATAATAATAAACGGTAGAATTTCGGTTCAGCAAGTCTGTTAGTGTATTTGTCAGTAGGCTGGCAATAAGGGAAAAGGAATTTGATGTATTCTGTCAGGATGGCCGAGCGGTCTAAGGCGCCAGACTCAAGGATTACGCCTTCCCTTGGTTAAAGGAGGTTTCTGGTCTCTGAGTGGGAGGCGTGGGTTCAAATCCCACTCCTGACATGAGTGTACCTCCCTTTTAAAAAAAAAACCCACTTGTGCATCTCTGTCAAGTGCCTTGAATGGCACAGCATTATTTGATGTGGCGCGCGCAATGTCCACTGAAAGTGGAAGTCAAGGCAGGGCACATCGGTGGGCTCCACCTTCTTTTCAAATCGCCTGTAGCATTTAGCTTACCTCACCACCCGGGCAAGTTGGGGACGGGACACTTCAGATTCTAAGAGCGTTTGATTGGACAGAAAATCTGATGAGATGCTAAAGTGGAGAATGATGTCTTCAAAATCATTGATCCATATTGGTGGTAGAGAGAGACTGTAAATTGTTATCGCACCCTGTATTCCTAGTATTGAAAATCCTAATAGTGAGCAGGTGTCAGTGGGGGGAGGAGACACTTCCTTTGCAGTGTCAGGATGGAGCGGTCAAAGGCACCTTCCCACTGGCTAAGGCTGTGACAAGCCCGCTGGCGCTGTTAATGCATGCTTCATGCCACTGGCTCCATATGGCATTGGGCAGCTGCAGGGTCGTCAGTTGGGTACCACCTCTCAACACCGTCTCACTCCTTTAACCCCGGAATGTCACCCTGTGGCAGAGCAGTGGCAGGGACATCTCCCTGCCACCCCTGCAGCTCGACCTTGGGGTAGATGTTTCTTCCCCAAAACTTCTTCTTTGTCCTCACCCATCACCGAAAGCTGCTTTCTGGCCTCCTCACCCAGGTCTTTCCGGGCCTTCCACTGGTTTGCTCCAGTTACTCCCATAGCACTCAGGAGGCATACAGTTGATGTTCCAACAAAGCCATGGCATCCTACTTCAACTGGGTAGATGATGGGTCTCCAGCCAGCCTCCTTACAGACAGCAGTAAGATCTGAGTACTTCAGCCCCTTCCTCTCAAAGGCAGCTTCTATTCCTCCTTCCATGTCCCCAATCCTGGAGGTGTGAGGCCAATGGTACTTACCGCTATGCTGTGGTGCCCCCCTTAGCCCTGGTCCAATATTGGACCTTGAGGACAATGTAATTAAATCAGTCACCAAGAATCCTGTTTGTGGATATCTTCTTTCCAGCAGAATGTTGATATACATTTGCATGGTACAATGAAATTTCCAGTGCACCCCGCGCAGGGGCATGGAGTTGGCTCGTTGGTCTAGGGGTATGATTCGAGGTTCAAATCCTACATGAGCCCTGTTTTTCTGTCAATTTGACCTCCTTCTGTGTTTTCACTGGTTTTCAAAACAGCTTTCTGTGCGCCGCGTCACCTATCACGCCCTTTTGTGCAAAAGCAGCGTCTCCGGGACGTGATCTAAAGCTCAAATCAGTGTTAATTTGACGCCAGTTTCCGGCAGAAAACAAATTGAAACGCTGAATGGGAGACAAATGTGTCGCTTTGTCGCGCGTGAATGATCACGCCCAGTGTGAATAGCTCCATAAGGATCTATTGTTTCCATGCAAGAAGCGTTGTCGCGTCAAACTTTCTCCCGGTTAAATTAGGCTTCTTGTCTCTGAATGGGCGTGGGTGCAAATCCCATTTCTGACATCAGAGTTTTGTTATTTTAAATGAAAAACCTTCTTGTGAATATTACAACAGACCGGAAAGTTTTATTTTACACCTCCAGTGTGTCTGCCACTCAACCCATAACCCTTGGATTTTACTCTGCCTCACTTGTATTGGGTAAAAGCTTTTGCTAAATAATTAAAACGGTAGAATTTCGGTTCAGCAAGTCTGTTAGTGTATTTGTCAGTAGGCTGGCAAAAAGGGAAAAGGAAGTCGATGTATTCTGTCAGGATGGCCGAGCGGTCTAAGGCGCCAGACTCAAGGATTACGCCTTCCCTTGGTTAAAGGAGGTTTCTGGTCTCCGAGTGGGGGCGTGGGTTCAAATCCCACTCCTGACATGAGTGTACCTCACTTTTAAACAAAACGATTAAAGGTAGATGTCTCTTCCCCAAAACTTCTTCTTTGTCCTCACCCATCACCGAAAGCTGCTTTCTTGGCCTCCTCACCCAGGTCTTTCCGGGCCTTCCACTGGTTTGCTCCAGTTACTCCCATAGCACTCAGGAGGCATACAGTTGATGTTCCAACAAAGCCATGGCATCCTACTTCAACTGGGTAGATGATGGGTCTCCAGCCAGCCTCCTTACAGACAGCAATAAGATCTGAGTACTTCAGCCCCTTCCTCTCAAAGGCAGCTTCTATTCCTTCCTTCCATGTCCCCAATCCTGGAGGTGTGAGGCAAATGTACTTACCGCTATGCTGTGGTGCCCCCCTTAGCCCTGGTCCAATATTGGACCTTGAGGACAATGTAATTAAATCAGTCACCAAGAATCCTGTTTGTGGATATCTTCTTTCCAGCAGAATGTTGATATACATTTGCATGGTACAATGAAATTTCCAGTGACACGCCCAGCAGCAGGGGCATGGAGTTGGCTCGTTGGTCTAGGGGTATGATTCGGGGTTCAAATCCTACATGAGCCCTGTTTTTCTGTCAATTTGACCTCCTTCTGTGTTTTCACTGGTTTTCAAAACAGCTTTCTGTGCTACAGCCTCACCTATCACGCCCTTTTGTGCAAAAGGCAGCGTCTCCGGGCACGTGATCTAAAGCTCACATCTAATTGGACGGCCTGTTTCGTCACCGAGCGGCAGAAAACAAATTGAAACCGCTGAATGGGAGACAAATGTGGGCGGCTTTGTCGCGTCGTGAATGATCACGCCCAGTGTGAATAGCTCCATAAGGATCTATTGTTTCCATGCAAGAGCGTTGTCTCGTCAAACTTTCTCCCCGGTTAAATTAGGCTTCTTGTCTCTGAATGGAGGCGTGGGTGCAAATCCCATTTCTGACATCAGAGTTTTGTTATTTTAAATGAAAAACCTTCTTGTGAATATTACAACAGACCGGAAAGTTTTATTTTACACCTCCAGTGTGTCTGCCACTCAACCCATAACCCTTGTATTTTACTCTGCCTCACTTGTATTGGGTAAAAGCTTTTGCTAAATAATTAAAACGGTAAATTTTCGGTTCAGCAAGTCTGTTAGTGTATTTGTCAGTAGGCTGGCAAAAAGGGAAAAGGAAGTCGATGTATTCAGTCAGGATGGCCGAGCGGTCCAAGGCGCCAGACTCAAGGATTATGCCTTCCCTTGGTTAAAGGAGGTTTCTGGTCTCTGAGTGGACGGTGGGTTCAAATCCCACTCCTGACATGAGTGTACCTCCCTTTTAAACAAAAAACCCACTTGTGCATCTCTGTCAAGTGCCTTGAATGGCACAGCATTATTTGATGTGGCGACGCAATGTCCACTGAAAGTGGAAGTCAAGGCATATCAAGTGGCTCCACCTGGCGCTGTTAATGCATGCTTCATGCCACTGGCTCCATATGGCATTGGGCAGCTGCAGGGTGGTCAGTTGGGTACCACCTCTCAACACAGTCTCACTCCTTTAACCCCGGAATGTCACCCTGTGGCAGAACAGTGGCAAGGACATCTCCCTGCCACCCCCTGCAAGCTCGACCTTGGGGTAGATGTTTCTTCCCCAAAACTTCTTCTTTGTCCTCACCCATCCCGAAAGCTGCTTTTCTTGGCCTCTTCACCCAGGTCTTTCCGGGCCTTCCACTGGTTTGCTCCAGTTACTCCCCATAGCACTCAGGAGGCATACAGTTGATGTTCCAACAAAGCCATGGCATCCTACTTCAACTGGGTAGATGATGGGTCTCCAGCCAGCCTCCTTACAGACAGCAATAAGATCTGAGTACTTCAGCCCCTTCCTCTCAAAGGCAGCTTCTATTCCTTCCTTCCATGTCCCCAATCCTGGAGGAGTTCTGGCTGCATAATATTGACTTCCTTTACGTTCTTCGGCTCGTACCAGGAATTGTCCTTCTCTCAGTAAAAACAACCTCATTGAGATTAAATCAGTCACCAAGAATCCTGTTTGTGGATATCTTCTTTCCAGCAGAACGTAGATATACATTTGCATGGTACAATGAACTTTCCAGTGACGACGCAGCAGCAGGTGTGTGCAGTTGGCTTGTTGGTCTAGGGGTATGATTCTCGCTTCGGGTGTGAGAGGTCCCGGGTTCAAATCCCGGATGAGCCCTTAGTTTTACGTTGAATAGTCTTGGGTGGAAAAGAATAATGCAACCCTGGGCTGGTGGTGACTTGATTCGAGGTTCAAATCCTACATGAGCCCTGTTTTTCTGGTCTCCGAGTGGAGGCGTGGGTTCAAGTCCCACTCCTGACATGAGTCTACCTCCCTTTTAAACAAAAAACCCACTTGTGCATCTCAGTCAAGTGCCTTGAATGGCACAACATTATTTGATGTGGCGACGCAATGTCCACTGAAAGTGGAAGTCAAGGCAGGGCATATCGAGTGGCTCCACCTTCTTTTCAAATCGCCTGTAGCATTTAGCTTACCTCACCACCCGGGCAAGTTGGGGACGGGACACTTCAGATTCTAAAGAGCGTTTGATTGGACAGAAAATCTGATGAGATGCTAAAGTGGAGAATGATGTCTTCAAAATCATTGATCCATATTGGTGGTAGAGAGAGACTGTAAATTGTTATCGCACCCTGTATTCCTAGTATTGAAAATCCTAATAGTGAGCAGGTGTCAGTGGGGGAGGAGACACTTCCTTTGCAGTGTCAGGATGGCGAGCGGTCAAAGGCACCTTCCCACTGGCTAAGGCTGTGACAAGCCCCGCTGGCGCTGTTAATGCATGCTTCATGCCACTGGCTCCATATGGCATTGGGCAGCTGCAGGGTCGTCAGTTGGGTACCACCTCTCAACACCGTCTCACTCCTTTAACCCCGGAATGTCACCCTGTGGCAGAACAGTGGCAGGGACATCTCCCTGCCACCCCCTGCAGCTCGACCTTGGGGTAGATGTTTCTTCCCCAAAACTTCTTCTTTGTCCTCACCCATCACCGAAAGCTGCTTTTCTTGGCCTCTTCACCCAGGTCTTTCCGGGCCTTCCACTGGTTTGCTCCAGTTACTCCCATAGCACTCAGGAGGCATACAGTTGATGTTC